AATAATTATGATAAGCAATGGTGCCTCTTTCAAAATTGTGAATTGTGAATTTCATGGCCTCTGGTTTAAAACACGAACAAAATTTAATTGTTTGAAAGGTGTTACACAATACTCAGGTGACCTATAAGGCCCGTGGGCCTCTTGTTTCTAATCACCAGGATTTCCTTGCCAACATAAGGAAATTTCCATGTGTATGAAAAAAGAGAGCAAAATTGAGAATTTATATCATTATGTAAAATACAATTTAAACTGGTTTTTCTTGTATGGTTCATAATCTCAACTTAATCAAATCTTTAGTTGTACATATTGGGCAAAACATTGGTTGAAATAAATGATTATACTAGATTACGTACTAGATGTTTTAGTAATATACACATCATACGCATTTAAAATACAAGCATGACATATATTTGTAAAAACCCAAGGTCCCTCTTAGTTGGTCACTCTTACTGAAATTTTATCGGCATTTTTGCGATATAAACTTATTCTGTATCCAAAAAAATCTACAAATCATGATTATTTTCCAAATTCTAAAATGAGTTTCTAATTGGATTGTACATGTTTTTGTTTCTTTTGTTTAAATGAATTAGTATCTATCATGTAAAATTACATTCAATTAAACTGGTCAATCCCCCCCCCCCCCCAAATAGTGAAATAGCGTTATTTATAGAAAACTGAACACGTGTTCCGTTGTTCAATGACATTTTTTGCAGAATATCCTTAGCTCGATTTTCTTTTATTAGACAATCAGTCACCAAATATATACAGCTGTAATAATATCACAATGATATGCCATAAAATTACTTTGCATAATGAAATAATTATTTGCAGAAAAAAACATTCATTTTTCGACAAATACGTCTTTTATTGACCAGCAGTAACAATACAACAAACCAAGAAAATAAATAACATAGATGGCGGGAAGTTGAATATAGTTTTTCAAATATTTGCAATAGAAATTGTCGAAGGCGTTTATGCATAAGATTATCACGCAAGCCACTCGATTGATCATTGTCATGAAATCGAAAAATAAGACGGTTATTCCTTATATTTACATGCTCTTGATACCGCCAATGAACGTGCTACAAGCCCCGCTTCTTGTCTCTATTTGTCCCGCCCTGTGCGTGAATTTTTTAAACCCCGCCTATCGATGAACTACATGTAGTACATTGTTGAGGAAATAAAGTACAATAATTAACTATTCGTAGTTTTATATCGCATAAAGACATTGGAAATGTAAATATTGTCATTTAAACACACTTTGATAATACATTTAATGTCATATATTTCGTTTATCCATTGATTGTTTATTATAATATTTAAAAGACACATAAGTTGTTATAAGTTGTTAGGCAAATTAAGTGTCTTTCGTATCTTACCACAATGTACACACGTTGATAAATCACACGAATGTCATATATTTTGTATATACACTGTTTTATTCCTACTGATAAAAACATTCAGCTGTTCAGAATAGGATCTTACAAGAGATTTTAAAATAAGAACGAGTTTTCGTATCCGCCAATTATATTTTTAAAATTAATTTGATAACAACAGAGTCAAATTGATTATTTAATACACTTTTACTGTTTAAAACAATGAGTGATACGAAATTAAGCTATGAAATATTTTAAATCTTGCATTTATGCAAGTAACAATTCATCTTAATAGAGTATTTTATCAAAGTCTTTTAACATACAAATTAAGGAGCATGTATGTTTCAAATATTTTCATAAAACTTTAAAAAAAAAAAAAGTGGCATTCTTGTTTTTGTTCAAGTTTCCTTGGTTTCTTTGATAAACTAAAATCTTTGCTAAGTGAAACATCGATCTTTAATTTAATGATTAGTCTTGGTGCTTGATGATAGAATCATAGTCTCTACGCTAATGATGTTTTAATACTTTTTTAAGTTCAGACAGGGGAAAAGTTTTTTGGTTATATGTATACTAGTTCACCCCCTTTTCTAATCAACATATTTTAGTTTTATATCCTCATCTTTGAAACAGATTTAATTGAATTCATCCTGAGTAAAAAAAGAATTTTGGCAAAATATTTGTTAGTTCTATATTATTTTGATTTAATTACATGTGTGTACATTTAAAAAAAGCAATGATTCTTTTTTCATTTGTCAACAATATTTACATGATATTTAAATTTTCATTATAAAGTGCATGAATTGATATTTTATAGAGGATCATTAAGATTCCATTCATTTTTTACTGTCATAAATATAAATCGAATACGCTCTAGTCATTTAGTAAATGAAGTACATGAAATATATGGAGATAATGAACAGTATTCAAGTTCAAAAGTTAATAAAACAGTACAAATAGGAGCAGAGCAAACGCGGACATCTAAAACATCATACACAGTAGGTATAATAAAGCAAATATTGCCTAAAGATGATATTAAGGTGGATCGTTCTCTGATTTCTGACTAGATGACATATTCAAAGTATATTTGCTTATATCTCTACAAGCAGGTACTATATTTTTGGCGGAAGGGTTGCTTTTGAAAATATCTTCTATTCTGTCTCTCAATTTATTTCTAGAACAATGAAATTAGTTATAATATTTACGCAATCAAAGACTTGAGGAAATTTACAAATGTAAGTTGAATTAATAATAAGGGACTAAACTTTCAAAATATATCAAATAAATATGATTTTTTAAACCATCTAGAACTCTGTTACTTTTAAAAGCTTCCAATGTCAGTAAAGGTTTGAGCCACAAATCCGTAAAACGTATTTTTTCTCTCTTAGTAAACGATCAAAACTTTTTGTTTTTGTATCATTTAGAATCTTACTGTGACAACTATGTAAAATAAGAAAACTTTGAATATACAATGTAAGAAGCATATAAAAATAACTAATATTCCCTAAAAATTTAAGAAAAGTAGAGAAAATTTGGATTAGCCAATATCCATTTTAGTTCAATTATTTAGGTCTGTTTAGATAAATTATATCACCTTATATGCCCTATATTGTAATTTCTTTTTCTGCAAAAAGAAAAAAATAATTTTTTGAAATGCAAGTAGGGATCGTATGAATGGCTACACTAGCCTACAGTAATTTTTTTATTCTTAATGTCTAGGGAAAAGGTTATGACCTTGACCTGACCTTGCCTCTAATACAAAAGGTCAAACATCACTTATTGTCTTCTTGATTTTGTGAAAAATTCATTAGTTTTTAAATGCAAGAAATGTTTGGAGAATCTTAGCCTAATTTTAAAATTTGACCTAATAAATCTTCAGTGTTTAAAAAAGTTTAAAAAAATCAATATATACACAATGTAGAGCATACTTTTTCTGATTTAAACATGATACACAATGTGAGTTTGTGAATCACTGGTACCCCCGTATATCAGCTTATAGCGCACGTTGAACTTTCTCGAATGCAATTCTAATTCCAAGGTCAAAGTCAAAAGGTGAATATTGTTGGTAACCAAACAAAGGTCTTGTAATAAGGAATAAACCTGTGAAATGTGAAAGATCTACTTTTAACTGTTCAAAAGTTATGGCCAAGGTTAATCTTTTTTAAAGTCGGTAAAACTCTCAGGTCAACGACAATACGTCCAAAATATTTCTTCTCATTGAAGAGCTTGTCAAAATAAATACACTGGTACATGTAAGGTATTAGAGCCCTAGCACCAACTGTTCAAAAGTTTTGGCCAAGGTTTATGTTAAGCAATTTCGTGTAAAAATGGGTTAAACTCTAAAGACATGGCCGAGAGATCAAATTTCGTCAAGAATGGCACTGTCAAACGGAATGCACCTGTGATATGTAAAAGTCATAGCCTCGCCCACTCAAAAATTATAGGGAAGGTTTAAGTTTTGAGGACAAAGAGACAAAAATAATTTCAAACTCCATGAATGCTGCCAGGAACATTTTCATACCGACACGGAATAATTGTAGATTCGGTGTGATATCAATGTAGCGGAAGGAGCAATAAGGACAATATTCTATTTCACTGCTGATGATGTTTATTACAGTTGTATTTATAAATAAATCATCATATACCAGATTCTGCAAAATAATATAAAAAATACATTTACTCAATTTGAAATCACATATAACAGCAGAATCTTTTGTCATCATAAAATCAGATAATTACTATATATATATATATATATATATATATATATATATATATATATATATATATATATATATATATATATATATATATATATATATATATATATATATATATATATATATATATATATATATGCTATAAAATATTAAATATTGACACACATGTCAATGAGTTATATCTCTTGACTTTAAATACAAATGATATTATTGATCTTCACATATTCACTTCATAATACATGTAGTGGATAACTATTTACAATAATATGCATGTACATATAGCTACATACCAAACTATGGGTATGAATCCATCTCTAATATATTGCATGTGTAACTGTATGACTTATGGATTATCTACAATTCATAAATAATATTCATACACTATATATCTTTTGTGTCATATAATACATTCATTATAAAGTTTAAATCAACTAGTTCATCAGCTTTTGACAAACTTAAATAATTTAATAAATTCTCTCATATGCCTCTTTCATTCAGTAATTAATAAGAAAGTATTAATATGAAAAAGAAGTGTCAAAAAGTCAACTTACTGTCAGTGGTCTTAAAGGATTCTCCAAAATACCAAAAAAACACAACTAAACACTATGACTGCTCCTGGGCTAGTAATTAGCTGGACACACAGGACAAAGGGGGTCAAAGGTTTTGGCGGGAAATATTGACCAATGGCTATTTTTACTTATGTGTTTATTCAAGGTTAAAAGTTAAGTTTTAAGTTTAAGGCTCTAGAGATTTCTAGACTTTAATTTTAGGAAGTTGTTATAAATTTATTTACATGTTTAATGTTTAAATAAAACATATTTATTTTAAATCAAGTTTATTATTGAAAGTTATTTTATAACTTTCAATGGCATCTGAAAGAAAAATACTTTAAATTAAAATCAATATAAAATCAATACTATCACATCAACTAGAAATATTCAAGGATTGATCCTAACACCATGACAATAGTCAGATGGTAAATTTCAAGGGTATCATATTTTTCTGAACCATTCCCGATCACTAAAAAATGGAAAAAAAACCTTTAAGAAATGTCCTCCCAATGGCTCATTTTACATATATTTTTTTTTTGACATTTTAATACTAACGTGGACAGGCCTGTGTCTCCGTGACTTGTTTCTTTTCTTTTTGTTCTAAAAGACAACGTCCAATTATGCAACTTTGCAGTGACCCTGAAATGAAATCATTAAATATAGAAAGATAAATCTATAGGTCTTATTATTGTGTGTATATCTAGTATATCCATGGAAAAAAATAAGATATTTAAGGATGCCTTAAGATTTCTGACATTTTAATGTCAGATTTATTTTTATTTTGCGAAATATTTTTCATTGTTTTAAAACCAACAATAGTTTTTTTGTTTGAAGTTTATACAAAGACCACAAGAGAGTGCGGAAGAAGGACATTTTTTTCGAATTTCCCCAGTTTAGTTGTTTTTCCATGACAAAATTCGGAAATTGAATCATTTTCTGACCTTTCTATGACCTTTATCTATCAACATAAACTCAATTTGTGGTAGGAAAAAACTGATTTTTATTTATAAACTGTTGCATCATTTTAAAAGACATCCGAAAAATCAGGGGTAGCGTTGGCTTCTTAGTCTATCTTGTCCTTTATTACATTTTGTTATGCAAAAAAGTGTAGAAACTTACCTAATGTGATTTGATCAATTTTGCAATCAATATTGATATCTTTAGATGAATAAGAACATTTTTTGTTCTTCCTATGTTCCAGTTTCAAAACGATATCAGCAGCGTATTTGATTTGTACTCTCACATAATCGTCTTCTGCTGCAGAGTTTATTATTAAACATTCTGGGGAACATTTCTCCAGATTGCTTAACGAAGCATTCACTGTAATCAAGACAAACCATGAAAAAATAATCCCTTAAGATATCTATATATTTTCTTAAATGCGGTCATTACTTTTTCGAACTAATGACAATAGAATGAACAATTATACAGATTTTGGGTCAACCATTACATGTAATTTACCTGAAGAACTGGACAAACAAGTCGAATTATTAATTAATTTATGGTAGAGGTCTGTTGCTTTGCGGATACAATCCCTAAAATACAAAAATTGTAATAATTAAAATGTTTATTTTTTAGGACGAGGAAAATCAAATATCTATAAAACAATTGTTCATTCATTGCTTATTAAATTTATGATAACACATATCATGTATTCTAACGAAACTTATTTCTTTCTTTCTTCTCCTCATGTTTAATCGTTTAAATATCAATTGCAACCACCACCTGCATCAACCAAACTAAAATACCAACATAACCATATGAAGTCAATGCCTTTATATAGTTTCGTTCTATCCGACTTCTTTAAATGCATTGTAACGTTGCAATAGAATCATAAATTTTTCTATAAAAATTTCGCAAAATAAAAAAAAAAATGCATATTAAAGATAAAATATAAAAATTAACCATGCTGTTCAGTAAACAAAATGCATAATCGCTGTCTTGAAAAAGTAATGTCTAAAGCTGAAAACGATTTGGAATAGGATTGTCTGCCATGATCGTTTAGTCAATTGCTATGTCTTAGGACTACTATATAAACCGCTCAATTAGTCACTATTCAGTTGTCACCAGTGAAGACGGACGGGAGTTACAAGCACTCGGTAGTGACAAAAATAACTGTGTACTTCTAATGAAGAAACATAGATTTAAAAAAAACAGATTACAACAGTTGCACAGGTCAGTGTAGCCCAAACAAAAAAACTATACTAGTAGTTAACTAAAGTTAATCAAAGTGTCAAAATCAAAAATGTAGTGAAATATGTATAAACACTCTAATTTTTCAAACAAGGGTCCCACTGTGAATTATCTAAACATATGTTTTATGCGTTGTCAGTTGACACAATTCTAGTTTTAACAACAGAATAACTTATCAAGTGGAGGGCATTTTCAATTTGCATTTTTTAAAATCTTATTTTAATATCCCTATAGAGTATGACTGAAGCGATTGATATAAATGGTTGTGTTGTAAGTGATTTATTCTCTAACTGACACTATACGATAATTACATTTATTGATCATTCATTGTCACATGAATGTACGTTAGGAAGACGGTTGAAATCCAGGATGTGCAAAGTATGTGTAAATAATTTACTTTGAACGGTGACGTGCTATGATTTATCATCACCTATTATGATTTAAGAGGTTTGTGTTTGGTCTGTTCCTGATTTGTATTGTTTTAATGAACTTTTAAGTCTGATACACTATTCGTTATCTACGTATTTCAATCAGCTTTTGAAAAATGGAGAGTTTTAAAAGTGATATTATTTTACTAAAAATACTGCAAGTATTTTTTTACCCAAGTTATACCGAAAAGTGTGGCAATAATCTCTTATATTCTTTCCCTCTATGACAGAACCCAAGTAGATCTTAAGAATAAGTAACTTTCCTGTCAGATATTGAAACTGACAGTTTTTTTTTCAAAAATATTGTTTAATACACGGTTACAGATTCAGTTCTAAAAACACTATGCAGATGATGTCAGGGAACTTAAGATTCAATGCACAAGATAAATAACGTCATGTTTCTGCGTATTACGTCATTAGTTTCAAAGAGAGGTGGTATGAATTCAGAAAACCACACTGTGTTGATCCGGAAGGTCAGAGTATGACGTAACGTTATTGCATTAAATTAACAGTAAAATTGAGTGATACACAGTTGCGTATATAATGAATATGTGTCACTGTAACAGTCACTTGATCCAAAGAGTTGTATTACGTCGAGTTGACAGGTGCAGATCATCAGATCAAACTAGACACGAAGTGTCGAGTGTGATCTGTTGATCCGCGCCTATCAACGAGACGTGATGGTGCTCTTCAGATAGAGTTACTGTTATAATGATAAATTTATTATATAACCCATTAAAACTAGCTAAATATGGTAAAATAAAACTTTAGAGATCAATATTTAATATTTATGCACTAAACAAAGCATATTGTCAAGGAACTTTTTAATGCACAAGAAAAGAAACGTCATGTTTCTGTGTGCTATGTCATCAATTACAGAGAGTGGTGATAAGGATTCAAACAAGAGGCCCATGGGCCACATCACTCACCTGAGAAGCTTTGACCATTCTGTTCTTTACCAGATTTCCTCCTTGTAATACATAATGCATCCCCACTATACCCAACTGATCATAATTTAGATATTTTGAAATCTACACTACCCCAGGATCCTTCCATGTGCACATAAGTTTCAGCTTTTCTGGCCCAGTGGTTCTTGATAAGAAGATTTTCAAAGATTTTTCCTATATATTTCTATGCAAAACTTTGATTACCCATTGTGGCCCCGCCCTTCCCCAAGGGTCATAATTTGAACAATTTAAAATCTACACTACCCCAGGATGCTTCCACATAAGTTTCAGCTTTTCTGGCCCAGTGGTTCTTGAGAAGAAGATTTTCAAAGATTTTTCCTATATATTTCTATGTAAAACTTTGATTACTCGTTGTGGCCCCGCCCTACCCCCGGGGGTCATGATTTGAACAATTTAAAATCTACACTACCCCAGGATTCTTCCACATAAGTTTCAGCTTTTCTAGCCCAGTGGTTCTTGAGAAGAAGATTTTCAAAGATTTTTCCTATATATTTCTATGTAAAATTTTGATTCCCCATTGTGGCCCCACCCTTCCCCGGGGGGCCATGATTTGAACAATTTAGAATCTGCACTACACCAGGATGCTTCCACGTAAGTTCCAGCTTTTCTGGCCCAGTGGTTCTTCAGAACCACTGGTTTTCAAAGATTTTTCTTATATATTTCTATGTAAAACTTTGATTCCCCATTGTGGCCCCGCCCTTCCCCCGGAGGTCATGATTTTTACCATTTAGAATCTACACTACCGCAGAATGCTTCCACATAAGTTTCAACTTTTCTGGCCAAGTGGTTCTTGAGAAGAAGATTTTCAAAGATTTTTCATATATATATTTCTATGTAAAACTTTGATTCCCCATTGTGGCCCCGCCCTTCCCCCTCCCCCGGAGGTCATGGTTTTTACAATTTAGAATCCACACTACCCCAAGATGCTTCCATGTAAGTTTCAGCTTTTCTGGCCCAATGGTTCTTGAGAAGAAGATTTTTTAATGACCCCAACCTATTTTTGTCTTTTCTTGATTATCTCCCCTTGTGAGGGGACTTGGCCCTTTATTTTAACAATTTAAATTTCCCTTCACGCAAGGATGCTTTGTACCAAGTTTGGTCAAAATTGGCCCAGTGGTTCTTGAGAAGAAGTCGAAAATGTGAAAAGTTTACAGACGGACAGACAGACAGACAGACAGACAGACAGACGGACAGACGGACGGACGACGGACAAAATGTGATCAGGAAAGCTCACTTGAGCCTTCGGCTCAGGTGAGCTACAAACCACAGTGTAGTGATCCCGAAAATTGAATTAAACTGTGTGGAATATAGTAATTCACAATTTTCTCCTTTTACTTTTCGCCTAGTTCTTCATATTTTATTTATATGCTTTCTCATACAGCTGAAAGTATATTTTACTTATATCTTCATAAGTGCATTTTATACATCTCTCGGAAACAGGAAAATTACTTTCCTATCTCTTCAGTTTCCTGACACAAGATATATTATAGAATTTTACTTTATTGTCGCATTAAGTCATGAAAAAAATTTTAAATAAAGTCTTTATATTTGTATAAAATGAAACATTTACAAGGATTTTCTGTTTCTCAAAAAGTAATATTTCCCGTCCAAAATAAAACATACAAAATGTTCGCTTATTTCCTCTGAAATTAATATAGAATTTCAATATTCAGTCTACATGTAGCTAGTGCAATACTGGCTTATTTTATTGTCTTATATATTTTCATTAAATAAACATGCATTTTAATACTTACGTTTCTCCATTGCAGCTTTTATGGTAAAGTAGAACACACACATATAAGGCGGAAATGAACTTCAACACGACTAACAAAGACACAATTAATAAAAAAAGGCTACACATGTACAGAAAAAATACAATACAATATATCCTTTAACTTTTTTTACTTCATGTCCAACAATTGTCATGATCGATGCAACTCTTAATTAATTATTGAATTTCATATTTTTGTATAATTGAACTTACTGCTTTTTATCATCGTCTTTTTAGATAATTGGGAGGGATAAGTCCTTGATGTATGTAGTAGAGTTGTTGTTGTAAAAAGGAAGAAAGTTTAAACTATAAATATGATATTGTGTAGTATTATTGTTCATTTTTTTCCTGAAATCTGGGAAAATCAAATTTAACACCAGTTCACATAAAAGATATAATGTTTGATTTTTTTTTTTCTTCAAAAATTCGTTTTAGATTCATTAAAAGTACTTAAAAAATTACGGTTTCGAACACATAGAATTCTTATGTTTAATATTAAAAAGATATGGTTCGTTGATTTCTCCTTAATAAATTAACAAATTAAATAAGTTTAAATCATCGAAAATTTATCTATGAAAATATATTTGAAGGGATATTGACTTGTTAAACGGAGTAAATACAGTTTGTTTCACAATATACATGTTTGTTAAACATCTAAAGGCAGATAGAAAAATTACAACAAATGCTACGTATACAATTTTTTTTAATATCATTTCAATCATTTCTGATATTCAAAATTATTGTTTTAAGTCAGAAGTATCCAACATTCTCCATTTCAGTTACTATGGAAACAATTCCTAAAATGTTGTTCTCGAAGTGTTTTCCAAACGTTGTCCTAAATAACTTAAGAGACTCATGTTTAGAAATTTCTGACCACTGTTTTGTAAGTTTCACAGGATACTTGAGACATTTCTTGTTTTATATCTGGCTTTTTAGAACCTCCAAAAAGCATATCTATTTTTTTAAAATTTAAATTCGCAGTTAAATACCACCGTTATATGATGCTGTCAACTTCTTTCGCTCTTCCTTTCAATCAATCTTGCAAACTTGAACCTACTCTGAACGTCAACTGACTCTGAATGCTCAAATCCTGTTTGCAGACGCAGTCAATTCAAATTTAAGATTTCTAAGTACACTTGATACACTTACCAGCATTGTTACTATCTGTTTCTCAAGAAAATAATGTTACATGTGAAAAAAAATTAACTTAAGGACAGATGATACCAATGAAACATATGGAAATAACGAACAGTAGTTAAGATCAAAAATCCATATAACAATACAAAATAGGACAGAGCAAACACGGACCTCCAAAACTTCGGAGGTGGGATCAGGTACCATGGAGGACAAACAAATATTCTTAGGAGGAGACTTAATATCATGTCTCAGCTTTAGAAAAGTTGATAAATTCTTTGAATTTTTTTCCTTAGACATGTAAAATGGAATATCTGGAGATGCTCACTCCTCCATGGTACTTGATCTCACCTCTGATGTTTTGATCTTGAATACTGTTCGTTTTCTCCATAATTTCCATTCCATATCCCCCCTCCCCAAAGTACACAGCGGGAGTAATCATGATAATATTGTTTAATCTCCATATAGGAAAATATTAGTTTATACTTCAGTCATTCTACAAAAAAATGACCAATTAAGGACATTGGCAAGTCACGGTTATCCAGAGAAAAAAAGGTTTATATCATGGGTTTATTCACTTATAAAACTGTGATTGAGAGTGATCTCCCGTGTAGAATTCTCCATGAAATGAAAACCAACAAAGCGTATTTTACAGAGATAAAGAAAAGCACATGTGCTTCCTTCAACGGGTAGAATCATCTCTACAGCAAGAAAGAAAAACGATGATTGTTTTGTTGTACATTGTGTTCAGGGACAGACAGTAAAAAGTGGTCAACAGACCGTAATTTACCGTATACCCATGCTGGGAATGACAATCACAAGATATGACAAATGCCGAGAACCTGTAACTGAATGAGGTCGTGCGAAGGAGGCACCATTTACATGTAGTAACTGTAAACAAATATAAAACAAATCTATACCAATATTTTTATGAAAATGTGTTTCCAATATGATAAATTACTGAACATAAACAGTCAAACAGTCTTTACCATTATGAATACGAATTATATTCTAAGGGAAGTAACTCTAAAATAATGAACAGTGTTAGTAGATCTGTGACATGTTTCTAAATTTGTGTTTTCAGTCATGATATCTAGATATGATTGGAAATGAGGATACAATAATGTATATAATATATAAACTTTCTGAAATGACTGGATTTTGGAAAATTGTTATGGTAAAAAATTAAGTGAGTCCTTTTTATCAACATTTTACATAGGAATTGCATTGAGCATTGTAAAAACATTGATTTGACAATATCCAGTAAGGAAGGGTGGCTTGGTGGATTAAATATAACAGAATATAACGTGTTTATTATCATTACACATGTTCAAGAGCTCTTGAAAAAAATCTATACAAAAGCCAGGAACCTTGCCAATGTCCTTAAGATTTTTTCATGTCGCTAAGAAATATACCGTTCCAATATCTTGGCTATAAATTTTATTGTCGATTTCAACCCTTAGTCTCAACCTACACATAATTATGGTTTTGTAAATATTTACCTGTATATGCAATTAAAATTTCGATAAGAAAATAATGTAATGTTGAAAAACAAATTCAACTGGAAATCTTCATGTCGCTTCATCAAATATTTACAATTTCAAGATGGAATCATTAGCCGTAAAAGAGTTCCAAACAGATTGCAATGAATGTTAAAAAAGTTTTTTGTTCTATATAAAAAGAAATCAAACCACTTCTCACAAAGAAATATATGGATCTTCTTTCATGCAAAATCATTGCATGTCACTAAAAATCGATTAACTTCCGTAATACTTTTGTTATAAATTTCACGAATAGAATGCAGATTTTAAAAAGAACTGAAACTTATCTGAAAATGACCACGGAACCTTATATCTTTGATTCTAGTAGTAAGTTAACTATTTTAGACGATTACATTTTCGAAATAACAAAATAAATTACAGAAAAACTATTGTCTCTCTTAAACATTTAACTTTCGTAGCGGTAATTCAAGAAAGTTTTGCATTGAAGGTATACATTTTTTGTTATTTTGAAAGCGAAATGCTTCATACTTTTGTTTGATATCCTAAAACAAGCTTTGATTTTAACTAACACCGAGAATTTTTATTGCTTGGAAATTAACTTTTGTTACGTTAACCTCCGAAACGATATTTCTATCGAAATTTTAATTTAATTTCGGATTCATGCGAAACTTTATGAATCATATTTTAGCGTTCGATTCTGAACATCAAAAGCAAAAAAAAAAAAAAAAAAAAAAAAAAAAAAATGGTCAAATTCAGGGAAATCCTATGTCCGGGTCTGGACCCCCCCCCCCAAAAAAAAAAAATTTGCAATAAACCAAGTAAAAAAGTGATCTGGGACACAAAACACTCCTAGAAAGCATAGTCAACGACTATACGACTGCACCCTCCCCACGAATTACAATGTATATTTTTCATGTTTTGGCGAGCTTAACGTTTTTTTTTAGAATGTCAATAAATTTCTAGGTTTTTTTGACCGTGGTTGAACCCCATGAAAAAATTCCTTGATCCGTGCCTGTTTATGCAAGAAAATACAAATGGTTAATGAGTAAATGTAATATTCGTACATTTAATCATGGACCTTCGAAAACATTTTGAGAAAAAGGGTGAATGAATGAAGATTTGACAATTTTACCATTATTACTCAAGTCGTGTACTTTTTCGGGGGAAATATGCAAGGTATTTCATTCTCCAAGTTTAAGGAAAACGGAACAAAAAAAGATGCAAAAGTTCAACAGTAGGCCGCATACAGTACTTTGAAACTTAAATTTTGTTTCTATCGAATGTTCTCATTCTTTTGTTTTTGGAAAGTGCTGCTAGTATCGTATGGTTAATGGAAATTGATTTTTTCTATTTTATGTACAAAATGTAAAAATCTTTGAAAGGTTTCATCCAAAAGTGTGGAATAATTAATTCTGTGATAGGGTAGAAGGATTCTAGAAGCACTTTTCATGGTACAAAGATTATTTTACATAACTATTTTTACAAATAGAAATTAATTAGCCAAGACGTAGTGTTGAACTTTTCACTTTTTCATTAAGGCATAGTTTTCTATTTATAGACGAGGTGTAGTGCTTCTTGTAGTATACGTCCAATTGAAGTCTAAAGAATGCATAATTATTGCAAAAGTTGTACCCATGACTTTTCCGATTTATAAGTGTTACATATTACAAAAAAGTGTAAATTCGCCGAATTCTGATCTGTGTGCTGCCTTAACATAACCACGTAGATGCATGTCACAAGTTTCAAAACAATTAAGAACTATAAGTCCACATTTGAATGGCACTGGGCAAAAATCTAGGCGCACCTGAAAGTGAACATTCCATCGATATCCAACATAAAGTTTTAATTTATTTTCATTATTTTGCTTCATTTTATTCCCATGAAAAAAGGAAAGAATATATTTTGTTTTATTTTGTATAAAATAGCATAAAATTGACTATATGAGTCATCTTGTGAAAATTGTAACATTGTAGCAATTTTTCCAAAAAATTACCTACCTCTTTGTCAGTTCTCGATATGTTTAAATGCTTTGTATGGATATTTTAGTTCAAAGAAACAAACTTTTTAAGAAAGGAAGGAAGACTCAGAAACCATTCAAAAATTGTCACGTTCACCATAGTTTTATACTTTAAACATATTTTATTGAATAATTCAATAAGGATTGGGCAACAGGCAAGGCCTATGTCCACCCTCTCTTTGTATAAAAGGTCAAGATACAATGGTAAGTAATAATACATGTAAATAATAATCAGTAAAATTATAATGAAAAATAAAGAATCACAATCAAGTATTATTTATCAATATTATATTTCAAAATAGATGATAACCCCCTAACTATATACATATTATTTACATACTGTTCCAACTTACAAATAATACAAATATTTGGAAAAAAAATCATAAAAAAAAATCATGCAAAAATCATCACCATAGTTTTAGTCTTATGTTAGAAAAAATCCTGTATGTTTCAAACAATTTAGATCTCCTGATTATGCATCTGAAAAATTCTTAAAGAATAAGATAGGACAAGAGCCAATCTAGGCCCCCTCTTCAAAAAACTAATATAATATGTAATCCAAGGGTATACCCAAGCCTAACAGGAAATGATATTTTTTTGGTGTTATCCCTGTAATTTGGTTGCCTAGCAACACATCAAACATAACAACCATGAATTGAATTTAAAGTCAATTTCAGAAACA